CTCTCTCTCTCTCTCTCTCTCTCTCTCTCTCTCTCTCTCTCTCTCTCTCTCTCTCTCTCTCTCCACTACTTAAACCATGTTTAGCCACCACAATTTGATGAAAGCAATGCCAACCATCCTGTTGAGAATGTTGCAATTACAGAAGCTCCTCAGCTCAATCTTGCTATACTTAGTGCCCAACAAGCTGAGAACTTATCTCCCACCTTCTTGGTACCAACAACACCACGAACACAAAAGAGAGCTCACCCGAATAATGGACCCTGACGAGCTCGAACGAGTTTTCCAAATGTTCGACCTCAACGGGGACGGGCGGATCACAAGGGACGAGCTCAGCAGGTCCCTCGAGAACATGGGCATCTTCATCCCGGACGATGAGCTGGCGCACATGATCGCCAAGATCGATTCCGACGAGGACGGGTGTGTCGACATGGACGAGTTCAGAGTCCTTTACCGAAACATCATAACTGAGGGAGAGGAGGAGATGAGGGATGCCTTCAACGTGTTTGACCTGAATGGGGACGGCTTCATAACGGTGGATGAGCTGAGGTCAGTGCTGCCCGGGCTTGGGCTCCAGCAAGGGAGGGCGGCTGAGGACTGTAGGAAGATGATTATGAAGGTGGATGCAGATGGAGATGGGAGGGTCGATTTTTCCGAGTTCAAGTGTATGATGAGAGGGGGAGGTTTTGCGTCATTGCGTAACTGAATTTTCCGAGTTCAAGTGTAGACGTGTTATGATTTCATATTAGCACTCTCAACCCTTTTCTTTCACCAAGTCAAAAATCAGTAGCAGTTTAAATCCATTAGTCAACAGCAGCAAACACTCCAAGAAGCATACTTTTTGTAAGTGACAAGTCAGCTTATAAAAGGCGAATCCTAAAGACTGGTTAAATATGTTGGAATATGGAAAAGATATAAGAATAGATACCAAGCCTCAACGCATTTCGGGGAGAACCAGCTAAATAAATCGTCACAGAGTTCTCATTACGCGTATTGTAGGGAACCAGGGTATAAAAATCATAACTTTCGTACTTTTTTTTTTTCTGAAGTTAGACCTAAAACCAAATATAATGACCTAAAACTTTAATAGGGCATGCGTATTAAGTCGACAAGGGATTCACAATAAAAAACTTATGAGAGTAAGTTTTCAATAGGTCTCAACACAAATGTAAATGCCTTGACAGTCACTGTACAGGTTCTCAAAGCCAGAACTAAGTCAAACTAAGGAATCCCTGCAGTGGGTCGTAAGAGAAAAAGATAACAAGCATATGAATACCATCATAGCTTATGAATAAGCCATTGCTCGACCTAAACACCGTCAAACCATTGGTTTAGCTTTTCCAACCAGTTCCCACTTCCTGCTCATGAAAATGGGGCGTTTTCCCCTTTTCTTCATTTCTTTTAGTTGCTTGGTTCATCACCGTAATGCAAACATTGAGCAAGTACAAATCATCCTACTCGAAAGTCGAGTTGAGAAGGTTTTCCAAGTGTATCTACAGTTGCCTCCTTAGATTACTCTTCCAATTAACTGAAGATATATGCTTTGTTCCCAAAGATCAACTTGGATCTCTGTCTTCATGTTATTCAGGACATTCACTGCAGAAACCAATGTTCCAGATGTCGTGTAAAAATCCATCAATGAATTTCCCAGCGAAGTAGATGATTCAAGTCCCTGCTTAATCAAGGATATGTGGACCGACTTTTCCAGTCTAAATGATAAGAGCTAAACAAGCCCTTGGAACGTGAGAGAGAACTTCAGGTTCTGTCAGTTGAACTTCAATACTTTTTATCTCATTGTAATGGGAGAGCACCGCTTTCCATCCGCCACTTGATAATTTTTTATTTCACGGCAAACTTTCCGCACATGACGGAAGGACATGGAAAAGCATACCATGAAATAGTTCAGTGCCTTCTTATAAGAAGAAAAACCTGAGGGCCTTCTTTGATCCAAACTTCTGTCTGTCTAGACATTGGCAGCCATGTAAGTTCGACGCATGTCATCTAATCAAGCAGCTATGAGCCTATGCATGAGTATTTATTTGCAGAATGAAACTAGCCTAATACAAGATGCATTTTTGAAAATAAGCAAAGCGTCCCACGGGTCACAGAAACATCTATTGACTGGATTCTCATTATCTGCGTCCACCCCAAAAGACCTGGAAACTAATCGAAAAAAAAATGCTTAAACCAAATGACCAAATAATAGAAAATAAGAGTGTTGATACTCATAAATTCCTACATAAGAGTGTTGCACTAATTGATACAGGGTTCAATCCATATACCTCGTAGTTTCATAGGAATTTAGACTCCCTTCCAAGCTAGTCCCCTTATACAACAACAACAACAACAACAACATACCCAGTATATTCCCAACTGGTTGAGGTCTAGGGGGTCAGTTGTACGCAGACCTTACCCTTGTAATTATACAAGGAGGCTCTTTCCGTAGCGACCCAAGGCGCATTGCGTCGTTTGATATATTTTTTTTCTAGAAACTTCGAAGAAACACTAGAATTTTATTGGGCCATTTTGATCTAGTCCATTATTAGCAATATGCCAGGAGAATTGTCAACAATGACTCTTCCAACTCCATTTGCAATAAACAAAAGCTAGTCCCCGTATAAATAATAAAAAATAACCAAATGCTCAAATCATAAAATCCCAGGGCATAAATCTTTCCTTTTTTTTTTATCTTTTCTTTCCTTTTTTTTTAGTTCTGTAACGTTTCAATATCAAAATTTAGCAAACACAACACCAGAAAGAAGGGCCAGCATACCCTTTAACACTAGAGGTGGCTCTGAAACCATCTTCCTTGAGAAAAGAGATAATAATATTTAGTTAAGTGATCTTCAAACGACTTTCTCGATTTAGTCATTACAGTTATCCAGCAAAAGGGTTTGAATATACCATAATAACCAATATGCAATACAGTCTACAAGTCTCGTAGTCCAAAAAAATATTCACAAAAGCAACCTGGAAGCTCCGCCTAATACTAGAATTTATGCATATTCAGAATCCAGATGCTTAGCCTTGCAGTTTTTTCATGACAGTTAAATCTCTCACCAATCACTAGTAAAAGCGCGCTACTAATATCAGCAATTTAGGGGCAGCTTTTCTTTACAAACAGGATTATATTACAAGTAAAAACAATAAACTGTAACTCATAAACAATTAATAAAGTACCTGTGGGGAACCAACAGTCACGGCAACTTATGCTGGATCAACGCAAAATGTGTTTAAGCATTTCATGGATCGTCTCCAAAACGGTGCATGATTTGTTAGGCTCCTCTCTATATTCTGCCTAGATGTTTGAATAGCACTGGAAAGAACATCCAGACTCTTCTGAAAATGCCAAGCGGTGAGGCCTTTGTCTCATGTTATATGTACTATCATTTGAATCGAGGAATACAGCCAATTTAAGTTTGCACCTACATAGAGCCAATTGTAGATTCAAAAACTGATTCTACACAAAATAAAATATGCTATTATTTAGAAACTGATTGATAGGATACTCTTACAGAGAAACCAACCGCATACATAAAATAGACAAAACAAGATTTTAAAACCAGCACAAAATTGACAATCTAATTTATACTGTTAACTTATACTTGGATTTTGAATTTATTATGAAGAAGAATATTGAGGAAAATATATTGAAACGTCAAAAATAATGTCTCGGCTTAAAGTAACAATGATGAAATATTTATTTTGGAATCTCCCTTTGACGACATAATTATACACATACTTAGATTTATAGCCTTTGACCTTTCATCTCAAATCCTATACCACAGAAATGAATGCATGCTATAGGGGCATAGTTACACATTAGCTTTCCTTGTTCTCTGAATTCAACTCAACTAAAGGTTGGACATAATTACTCCTTAGCTTTCTTTGGTTACTGAATTAAACTCGCCTAATGTTTATAATTAAACATATACTGCAACCTTACAGGGACGTAGAAACTAGCTCTCAACTATAAACAAATATCAACTCTTAAGTTCTGCTCTAATTAACTCAAGATACTGAGAGTTCCAAAGTTCATTGATTTTCTGTAACCATTAAGAAAAAAACCGAAGGAAGATGAATACATGATATATCCTGAACAGACTACTCCCATTCACTGTCCACACATACATATCCATCCAGTCCCGGTCGAGGATCTCCATAAGCCCCTGCGCCTGGGGAATGTAGTGCAGCGGGACCCGCTTCCACGGGAGGGCCTGTTCCATGTTCCCCCCGAAGAACGGGCACTTAACCTC